GGGGAGTTGCGCCATGTGACATTTGGCACACTTTAACCTTTGTGCAAAGTGGAAGCAGGTGCCTTCCAGAAAGGAGCGGTTGAGAGGGAATGGTGGACAACTACAGCTGTCCTGCGGCCAGCAAGTGACACCCTGCAGGTGGATGTGGCGAGTATGGTAGGTTCTGGAAACTGACAGATTCTGGTCCGGGCTCTGCCACTTACAAGCTGTGTGAGCTTGCCCCAGTCAGGTAACCTCTCTGGGCCTCTGCTTCCCCCATCCAGTAGGGTGGGTGATCCTAACTGCTGCTGGATAGCCAAGGGAGTGACTACTTGAATGGGCTTTACCACACATAAGCTTCCTGTGAATGGAGCTGTTTGCTGCTCTTCCCTAGAGGCACTCCTCCCCCTCTGCCTGGCTGTGTTTTGCTTTGGGATTTCTTCCTTTTTTTTTTTTTGAGACAGAGTCTTGCTCTGTGGCCCAGGCTTATCTTGGCCCACTGCAACCTCTGCCTCGTGGGTTCAAGCAACTTTCCTGCCTCAGCCTCCTGAGTAGAGTAGCTGTGATTATAGGCACCCGCCACCAGGCCCGGCTAATTTCTGTGTTTTTAGTAGAGACAAGGCTTTGCCATGTTGACCAGACTGGTCTCGAACTCCTGACCTCAGGTGATCCATCTGCCTTGGCCTCCCAAAGTGCTGAGATTATAGGAGTGAGCCACCGTGTCAGACTGGCTTTGGGATTTCTTTATCATTCTTCCCCTGAGTTACAAAAATCTTGGCCACTCTTCAAAGCCCATGTCACATGTTTTCTCATCTCCTGGTTCAAGCCTGTCTGACATTCCCTACCTCGTCCTGAATGCCTATTGCTCACTTTGGGGCCTCCTTTGCCTCTTATGGAATTTTAAATGTTTTAGTATAGCTCTTCCCATACTGTTTGATGTACCCCAAAGGATTGCCAACCCTCTCAGGGCAGGAATGTGTCACTTTGGCAAACCCTGTAATTCTAACAGAACAGTCCTGTAGCAGGGTGAAGAGGGTGAAATGACATGGAAGCATTTGCTGACTACCTACTGTGTGCCAGATAGAGCAATGATAAGCAGAACAGACACAACCTGCGCCTTCTCACAGCCCACTGTGCTGGCTCCACCCATGCCCAGCAGTGATGCCGGCCAAGCAGAGAAATGCCCATGTGCCCTAGGTCAGTTCAGACTGTGTGACCTTACTCATCAGCCTGTGTGTGACTGGGTGGTGGCCTTCTGCATGGCTTTTGGGATGGCACTGTGCTGTGTGAGTTGGGTGGGAGGTACCCCCTGTGTTGGCATGGGGGTAGGAACGCAGAGGGTGACTGGACGTCCATCTGCATGGCTAGAAAGGAAGAATTGGTGGTGAAGTGTGTGGATCAGGACCCATTGCTGATGGAGAAGGCTCATGTGGCCATGATCCCTGGCCCAGGAGAAGCTGTGATCCTGGGCCTAATGCCTCACTCAATGGCTTTACTCTCCATGTGGCTGCCCCTTCTGTGCAGGCCTGGAAATTGCTCTCTACAGGACAGGAGGTGCCTGCTGTTTGGCAGGAGCTGAGGTTCGCTGCAGAGCCTGGGGTCAGTGCTAATTGGGTCCTAGGGCACTTGTAAACGCACTTAATGACCATCTGGACCTTGGTTGGGCCGCTGTCTGCATTCTTTATCTACGGAAGGCAGACGACACTGGAAAAACCAGTTAGGGTGTGTGAGGCACATTTTATGTCGAAGTCAAAGGAGTGGACTCTTGGTTTAAGAGCCTGGAAATGTATGCAATCTGGCTTTTTCAGAAAGTTGGCCGTGTTGAATAGGGCAGAAGACCCTTTTAGGAGTCACGTCTCCTGAACAGGTAAGTGGATAGGACCAGAGTTTGGGGTTTGGTCCTCTTCCCTCTGATGGAAAAGGCGCCCAGCACATCTCCATGAGCAGTGCTGGCATTTGTCGTGGTCAAGAGGTGTTCACTGGCATGTGACCAGAGACTTTGGTAATAGCTGAGATGGAGTCTGGCCCAGTGGGCATGGCTGTGCCCGGCCAGCATCGTGGCTGGTGGGGAGCTGCGGTGAGAACTCCAGGAACACGCCGTGTGGCTCCGCTGCCTTCCCTATTCCTAGGATTCCCACCCACCGCACTTGGCATGAAATTGTTGCTCAGCAAACTTTTTATTTTTGTAGACGGCAGCTTGCTGTGTTGCCAGGGCTGGAGTTGGAGACCAGCCTCCCTCAACCTCCCAAAGCACTGGGATTAGAGGTGTGAGCAAATATTTGGAATGAATGATTTAATGATTTAATTTCGTATTCTTTGTCCATTGTATTATTCGTTGGTGAGGGTGGGAATGTATTTATTTTTTGTGGCTGCTGTAACAGGTTGCTACAAACCTGTTAATTACAGATGCATTAACTTAAAAACAAATTATTCTCTCACGGTTCTGGAGACTAGCAATCAGAAATTCGGCAGGGGGATCTTGGGGAGACTTCACAGCTTCGAGGTTTGGTGGCCCCGTCACTGCCGTCTCTGCCTCTGTGGTCACACGGTGCCTCCTCTCTTCTCTGTCTCTGCTCGTGTTTCTCATAAGCCCACTTGGATTGAGGGCCCGCCCAGGTCATACAGGGTGACTTCCTCATCTTAGACTCTTAATTACATCTGCTAAAACTATTAATCCGAATATAAGGTCACATTTCTGGGTTCTGGGGATTAGGGTGTGACATACCTTTTAGGGGACCACCATTCAACTCACTACAGGGGTGTCAGTACTACTGTCAATTGCTTTTTGAACTATGTAATGACTCTTGGCCAGGGGTGGTGGCTCGTGCCTATAATCTCAGCACTGTGGGAGGCCAAGGCAGGGGGATCACTTGAACCTAAGAGTTCGAGACCAGCCTTGGCAATATAGTAAGACTCGTCTCTACAAAAATAAAAAGTTAGCCAGGCATGCTGGCACGTGCCTATAGTCTTAGCTGTTTGGGAGGCTGAGGTGGGAGAACAGCTGGAGCAGGGAGGTTGAGGCTGCAGTGAGTCTTGGTGGTGCCGCTGCACTCTAGCCTGGGTGACAGAACAAGACCCTGTCTCAAAAATAAAATAAAATAAATGGCCCATAGCCACTGGGTTTGCTCTTCCTAGTTTGCATTAAGTTTTTCACATTCATGCATATAAGTAATTTTACATTTTTATAGCCAGATATCTTTTCTTTCCATTGGTTTTAGGTTCAGAAAGTTCTTCCTTATTGAGTGTCTGGTAAATAGTCATTCATGTTAAAATAAAACCTTAAGAAATTGACTTTTAAAAACACTGACTAATAAGAATTGTGTATATTTATTATGTGCAACATGATGTTTTGAAATACGTATCCATTGTATATTGGTTAAATCTAACATACGCATTGCCTCATTTATAATTTTTTTGTAGTGAGAGCACTTGAAATAGATGGTTAGTAATTTTGTAGAATACAATGAATTGTTATTAACAATAGTCACCATGTTGTATAATAGATCTCTTGAACTTACTCCTCCTAATGGAAATTTGTATCCTTTGATCAACATCTTCCCTATTCCTCCGCAAGAAATTGACTTTTCAATTCAGCGATAACTTGTTTCATATTTGCTGTGAGGATCTGCACTCTGAAAGAAATAACTAGTCTGCACATGTGACAAAATTTCATGGACCTACACACATACAAGCCTACAGAAAAAGAGGGAGGGTACGTGCAAAACCCCCAGAAATCAAAGAAAGGGCTGTACTTTTGGTAATGTACCATGGTTCCATCAGATAGTGCCATGGAGGATGCTGGCACAGGTACGCATCCTCCAGGGCACAAGGTACTATTTTTTTTTTTTGAGACCAAGTCTCTGTTGTGCAGACTGGAGTACAGTGGTGTGATCTTGGCTCGCTGCAACCTCCGTCTCCCTGGTTCAAGTGATTGTCCTCTCTCAGCCTCCTGAGTAGCTGGGACTACAATCGCACGCACCATGGCTAATTTTTGTATTTTTAGTAGAGATGGGGTTTCTCCATATTGGTCAGGCTAGTCTTAAACTCCTGACCTCAAGTGATCGACCTGCCTCAGCTAGGTGCTGGGATTACAGGCATGAGCCGCCCAGCCATTTTTTTAAATAACTTTTTAAGAGTCTATAGTTTTTAAAAATAAAAAATTTAAAAAGCTAATTAGATTTACCATACAAATTATTAAATAATTTATTGTATTATTTCTAAAACACCCTTTATTAAGTTATGATATAGGCTAGAGTCTTGTAAAATTGTAGTTTAACATTTAATTTGGGGAAAATCAGCAGCTATATATACATAATCTATATATAATGGTCTTCCCTTCTGAGAGCACGGTGTATCCTATTTATTCATGGCATATTTTATATTTCAATAAAATGTGTGTGGTTTCCTTCAGGTTTCATAGATGGTTTTAAATGTTCTGTTATTATGGGTGGCTGTTGGTTCCATTTATTTCCTTTCACCTGCCTGTGCTGGTTATATGTCCCTGAATATAATCTTCATACCCTTTCAAATAAATGGAATTCTTTTAACTGGGGCACATGCTTTGCATTCTGCCATTAGAGCCAATGTTTAACAGGCTTCTTTATTCCTTCGGACTAACTCTCAGAAAGGGTATGGTTGGATATTTACCCTGTAATGTGAATTTAAGTAGCCGTGGTATATTGGGGGTTTGTAAAGGTTTATGAGTTCGTGTTCAGTGATTTTAATGCTAACTGTGTTTTCCTGGCTTCTGTTTCTTTGAAGATTGTAGAGGTGCTGTCTCTAGTAGGGTCACACGGTGTGTTGCCTGGGGTATCCTAGGCCCGACCAGGCGGGGTGGACAGACTGACATCAGTCCAGAGAGTGAGCTGAGCTGAGCTGGCTGTGGGCTTTCTTCTCTGCATTGCTTCTCAGGGCCTTGAGGCCTGGGTGGGCACTGAGGGTGTTGAGAAGGCTGCGAGCTGGATGAACCCCAAATTTAGAAACACTCAGAAATGGAAAATGTCCCATTCACCTCCATCCAGGTCAGTCTTATGAAATCCGACTGCTGGAGAATCGGAAGCTGGGAGACTTTCAAGATCTGAACACCAAATATGTCAAGGTAAGCCTCACAGGCGATTCTTACCACCTCGGGGAGAGGGGCTTGGTAAGGGTCTGGGCCCTGGGCTTGCTGGGGTTGGGTATGAGTAGCTGGAAGGTTAGGAAGAGGCCGGGTTCAGCTCAGCTCTCAGCGGTGAGACGTAGGGCCTGTTTGGCTTCTCTGGAGCCTGATGTCCAGGTGGGGATTAGATGGGCTGGCAGCATTGAACTTTTCTGAGCTTCAGTTTGCTCATCTGCACAAAAGGGTTAATACATTAGACATAAAGCACTTAGTGATACTGGGGCAAATGGTAGTCATCACCATTGTTGCTATTGTTAAGTGTTACCGGGGTCTGAGGAATGGAGAGGTGGGGTTAAGCTTGAGAACTGGGAAAGAAAACTCCAGGAGGGAGGGGCCTCCAAGGTGGGAGGGTTTGCTGTGGCTCAGGGAAAGCAGGTGGGTTTCTCTTGGCCCCCACAGTCATGTGTTACCTGCTGGCCTCCCTCCCCAGAGCATCATCCGCGTGGTCTTCCATGACCGCAGGCTGCAGTACACGGAGCACCAGCAGCTGGAGGGCTGGCGGTGGAGCCGGCCTGGGGACCGGATCCTGGACATTGGTGAGTCTCCTGGCCGGGAGAGGCCAAGCAAGGCTTGAGGCATACAGGCCACCTTAGGTTCTTCCTGGATGCCACTGGGACCTGTGCCGACAAGGTGTTTTAGCTCGTGCCTGCTCTGTGTAAAAACCATCAGGAGTTTGCAGAGCTGACCATACACTGGGTCTTGCCCTGAGGGAGGACCTTTTCCCTTTTTCAGTGGAAAGAAAGGCCTGTGGAATTGGCCGGGTATGGTGGCTCATGCCTGTAATCCCGGCACTTTGGGTGGCCGAGGCAGGTGGATCACCTGAAGTCGGGACTTCGAGATCAACCTGGTGAAACCAACATGGTGAAACCCTGTCTCTACTAATACACAAAAATTAGTCGGGCTGTACACAGTTGTAATCCCAGCTACTTGGGAAGCTAAGGCAGGAGAATCCCTTGAATCTGGGAGGTGGAGGTTGCAGTGAGCCGAGATTGCACCATTGCACTCCAGCCTGGGGCAATAAGATAGAAACTCTGTCTAAAAAAAAAAAAAAAAAAAAAGAAAGGTCTGTGGAATTTAGAGACCTGCTCACAGGGAGTTCCCAGAAAGCTCTGCAGATGGATGGTGCCTTAAAGGATTGTGGTAAGTGTTGAAGAGAACTGTGAGCATCACAGAGATAAATTGGCAATGGAAAGGGAATTCTGGGGGCTCAGGGAACAGCCCACAGTCCTTTATCCATAATCCTTGGGGCTGGGTGGGTTTTGGAATTCAAAAGCTAGAATGACAATACGGCATGTGTACCCAGAGCATCAGGGAACATCCCCAACAGGCAGCCACACACAGTAATATTTCTGTAGCAAAATAAAATGATGGTTCATACAAAATAGGGTGAAGACGACATAACGCTTGTGGTTCAGGTCAGGCTTTCCATCCAATAAGTTATGCAAAACTTTTTCAGAGCTTTCGGCATTTGGAATCAGGGTGAAGGAATTGGGACCTGTAATAAAGGTCCTTCCATAAATATTAGGGCGAGGCTGACAATTGCACTTTTGTGTATGTGTGTGTGTATGCAGATATTCCACTGTCTGTTGGTATCTTGGACCCCAGGGCCAGCCCGACCCAGCTGAATGCCATCGAGTTTTTGTGGGACCCTGCGAAGAGAGCTTCGGCATTCATTCAGGTGGGCCGCAGGGAACTGCCCCCCAGGGGAAGGCCTAGTCTTTGGGGTGGCCTGCTTGCAGTTTCCCAAAACTCACCCATTTGGATGAGCTTCTGCTCCCTGTCACTGCAGGAAAGAGAGAGAATGGGTGTTGTGAAGAGTCACAGAGCTCATTGGTCCCTATTTAGGGGAGTTGGAAGGTTTTAGAATTCTATCTGGGTTTTGCCCATAGAATATATAAGTTTTTAAAAAATGAGTATTTTCCAACATAAATCATTTGAAAGTAAACATTTTTTCTACTATAGTTTCCATCATTGAATGAATTTGTTATCAGTTACTGGTGTATATGCCATGTGAGATCGAGGTGGTGAAGGACGTGACCGTGGTGTCGTGGTTGTGGTTCTGGCTTGGTCCCGGCTCTCTCGCTTGCTGCGTCTCTTCCCCTTTCTGAGACTCTTTGTTTTCTAACCTCCTGTCTTATAAATCAGAAAATGAATACAGAGCCATGAACAGGCCAGTCTCGAGGAATCAGAGTAAAAGCGATCTTTTCTTTGTCTCTCTTTTTCACAATTACAATATTCTTAATATATTTAAAAATGATTATTACATTGTTACTGTTACAATTATAGATTAGATTTTTATAATGTGATTGTAGTATTATAACAATACATTGATATCAAGTGCCATTTATGTAACAGGAACCTACCAGAAAACAGAAATGGTTCCAGCCTTCTGGTTATGCTTCCAGCCTGGCCTGAGTAGCTTGGACACATTAGAGAGTGGTCAGGGTATGCTGTGGTCCTGGCCCTCAGTCTAGGATTTGACAAGGGAAAGAAATCTGGGTGAGGAGTTAGGTTGATGTTATCAGGGTCAGTGGCCTGGGGGAGTGGTGGGGACTTAGCTGGTCAGTAAGAGCCTCCACGGTAAAGAGATAAAGGTGGAGGGGTATGTCTTTTGCAGGCAGGGGAGCAGGGAGGCCATCAGCCTGATGGAGTGGACAGAGTGTCAGGGAGAGCAGGGAGGGTGAAACAGGCCCGCACTGACCAAGCAGGGAAGGACACCTCCACATAGAGGGGGCACATGGGTGATCCAGGGTCCTGCTGGGTGCTGCCTTGCCACCTGCTCAATGTTTCTGCTCCCAGGTGCACTGCATAAGCACAGAATTCACCCCCAGAAAGCACGGGGGCGAAAAGGGAGTGCCCTTTCGAGTGCAGATTGACACGTTTAAGCAGAATGAGAATGGGGAGTACACCGAGCACCTGCACTCAGCCAGCTGCCAGATCAAGGTGTTCAAGGTAAGATGGCTTCGCTGCCCTGCCCTGCCCTGTTCCTGGTCTGGCCTGTGGTCACATTCATCCGCAGAGACTCTGGAGACTCCTCTTAGAGGCCCGGCAAGGAACACAGCATCCCTTTAGCATGTGGCTTCTACCTGGACTCCGAGTGAGCAAGAGCTGCAAGTCCAGACATCACAGGCTGCTGCTGCCCTGCCGGGGGCATCTTGTCACCTGCAGCACCTGCTCAGCTTCTGGCAGAAGCATCAGCATGGAGGTCATTCTGGCTGCGGGTCCTCAGAGTGATTCAGTTTGCACATTTTACGTTTTTTTTTTCTCCCAAGCATGTTATGATTGCCCACAGGTGCTCACATCTGGACTCTCCTTAAAAATCAAAGCAAGCGTCCCTCCCTACTGGAGGCCTGGCTTCAGATCTTCCTGTTTAGGGCTTGAGGCCATTTTTCTCTTTGCAATGGCTTCCTGTTAAAGAAACATTTTCAAGGGCACTGTCTCCCTTTTCCTTCCTTGCTTCATTCCCTGTAGTCGCCTGTCAGTGTTTTCCATCTCTTCCATCTGGACTGGTTATTTCCTGATGATAGTAGCCAGCAATACAGCTCAGTGACGTGTGTGGCCTCAGGGAGGTGTGGAGGGCTGCAGGAGCTTGCATCACTCTCAGGGCGTGAGGGCGGCCCATGTTCAAGCAGGCTCCAGCCCCCCAGCCCCCAGTCCCCAGCCCCCAGCCCCTGTAGGCCCTGTCTGCCAAGGCCACTCCAGCAGGTATCTGCAGAGAAGGAGTGGACCTACTTCCTGGGCAGGAATTGCCTTGAGTAACCAGCCCTGGTGCTCATTCCATCTTTCTCTTGTTTCACACACAAGTGAGTTTGGAACCTGCTGAGAAAGCTTCATCTGCCAGAGCTGGAGACCCAAGAGGGAGTTGCTTTAGACAGGGCCCATTAGAAAGCTGGGTGTGTGCTGATCTTTCCCCAGACTGAAGGCACGGGCCTGTGGAAGACCCAGGCTTGACCCAGGCTTGGAACTGATGTGGGAATAAATGCTCACAGGTTGAACCATCAACCTGGTGGCAACCCTGGGAGACAGGGATGGTGCCATTTCTCAGCCTGGCCCGCAGTGAGCACTGGGCCGTCATCTGGGGATACGCCATCACAGCTGCAGTAGAGGAAGCCGAGGATGAGCTGGTAGAGTTTGCACTCAGGACCACAAAGCCAGGCTGCCTGAGGGTTGTGGGCACAGGGTTCTGAGGCACTGGCCCAGCTCTGTGGATGGGGATGCCTTGGTCAGTCAGTGATGCGGGCCACGGTGGGAGGGATGTGTGTTGTCTTTCCTGCCAGAGCATTGGCCTCCAAGGGGAGCTGTGCTTCATGACTTATGCTGTGCACATTGATTATCTTCCGGTGCTGGCGGTCAGAGTCTGGAATGGTCCTCACTGGGCTAAAGATGCCAGCGGGCCTGTGTTCCTTTCCTGAGGCTCTCAGCGGGGCTTTTGCCTGTTCCAGCTTCTAAAGCCATTTCTAGGTTCACGGTTCCTCCTTTGTCTTCAAAGCCAGCAGGAGCAGGCCAAGTCCTTCTCACATGGCTGCCCCAACCTCCTCGTCTACCTCCCTCTTCCTTTTTTAAGGTCACTGTGATTGATTACATGGGCCCCCCCACTCAGTTAATCCAAGATAGTCTTCCTATTATGTCGGTTGTGTAGCAATCTTTTTTTTTTTTTGAGATGGAGTCCCGCTGTCGTCACTCAGGCTGGAGTGTAGTGGCACAATCTCAGCTCACTAGAACCTCTGCCTTCCGGGTTCAAGCGATTCTCCTGCCTCAGCCTCCTAAGTAGCTGGGATTACAGGCATGTACTAACATGCCTGGCTAATTTTTTTGTGTTTTTAGTAGAGATGGGGTTTCATCATGTTGGCCAGGCTGGTCTCCAACTTCTGACCTCATGACCCACCCACCTCGACCTCCCAAAGTGCTGGGATTACAGACATGAGCCACTGCATCCGGCCTCACGTAGCAATCTTGATTCCATCTGAAACCTTGATTCCCCGTTTGCTGTGTTAGGTGACATATTCACAGGTTCTGGAGATTAACACACAGCCATCTTTGGGAACCATTAATCTGCTGGCCATGTCCACCAAGCAGTGGGCGTGGCATGGTGGTATTTCTGCCCGCTCTGGGATCTGACCATCCTGCATGGCTGTGTGCTGTGGTCTTTGTCTAGCCTGCAGTTCACTGTTGCTCTGGCCACCCGCCTCCATGTATAGACTGTGTCTCTGGTCTGCCAGTGTTGGCCCCCCTCAGGTAGCCGTTCACTCCCTCACCTGGGATGTCAGGTTAGTTCTGCTGCTCTCAAGGTGTGTGCCCTGGGGGAGACGCTGTCCTGGGCAGTAGGAGAGAAACGAGATAGGCATCTCCACCCCCATAGGGTGCCCTGTGTACCCCATCTACGCCTTGGGTCAGAGGCTTAGGAGTGGGGGCTCTGTCTACCAGGCTCCTCGACCCATACCAGGTGTTTCTTGGGGAGTTGGGCCAGAAGCTGCCTGGTCTCACTGCCCCAAGGAAGGCCTTGGCACCTCCTGCAGGGAGCAGGGGTGGCAGGAGCCCGTCGTCACCCCAAACTGGCTCCTCAGAATGCCAGGGGTGTGTCCTCCCACTTGTCCGCCCCCATTCGCAGAGCAGATGCAGTTGGTGTGTGTGAGCCAGGCTGAGCCAAGCCAAGCTGCCTGTCACCCCTCCCTTCACTGGTCACCCCCATTCCTGGGAAGCCTGGCTTGTTGGATCCCCTCCCTGGGACTCTCTGTGGGGTGTCAGGGTCTCTGAAGGGAAAGGCAAGGCTCCTCTCTGAGCAGCCAGCTCCCTGCAGGCCTCATCAAGGCCCAGCGAATGCCCGGCATGCAGGCTCAGCCATGGTCTGGCTGTGACCCGGCCTTGCCTGTATCCTCTGTGCAGGGAGGAGGGGTCTCCTGAGGACAGGAGCTGGAGGTGGAGCAGGGAGGCCAGGTCATGGGGGTATGGCTGCTACACCACCACTCTCACCCAGGACACTGGATCTGTCACTTGCATCCCTGTATGACCCCCGCCACCCCTGCCTCATCCAGGGCAGGCATCACTCCAAGGCAACAGGGCCCCAACCTTTTTGGCACCAGGGTCTGGCTTTGTGAAAGACCATTTTTCCACAGAAGAGACGGGGATGGTTTCGGGATGATTCAAGTGCATTTCATTGATTGTGCGCTTTATTTCTGTTATTATTGTATTGTAATATATAATGAAATCATTCTACAACTCATCACAATATAGAATCAATGGGAGCCCTGAGCTTGCTTTCCTGTAACTTGATGGTCCCATACAGGGGTGACGGGGGGGACAGTGACAGATCATCATAAGGAGCATGCAGCCTAGATCCTTTACACATGCAATTCACAATAGGGTTTGCACTCCTATGGCAATCTAATGCCGCCACTGGTCTGGCGCGGGAGGCAGAGCTCAGGCGGTGGTGTGAGCAATGGGGAGCAGCTATAAAGATGATGATGAAGATGGAGCTTTGCTCACTCACCTCCCGCTGTGGGGCCCAGTTCTTAACAGGCCATGGGACCAGTATCGGTCTAGGGGGTTGAGGACCCCTGCTCTAAGAGATGCTCCCTAAAAGCACTTGATCGGGGACCCAAAAGCCTGAGAAAGGTGCCCCCTGGCATGAAAATCCCTGAAGGTGCCATTGAGCTTGAACCACTTTTAGCATTACCTGCCCACCACATGCGGCCTGCTGTGTGCATAATAAAACTGCTCAGTTCTAGCACTGCTCAGAGTCTTTACATCTGACTTTGCGGAGCGGGCATGAGCTCATAAGGTGTAAATGCCTGGAGACTACATAGCGAGGTTGAGAAGGCCCCCCCATAGTGGCACCTGCGGGGCAAGCCTGCAGTGCAGCACACTGGGCACTGTCACTTGGATCCTCTCCAATCCTGATGAACCCCTTGAGCCTCAGTTTCCCGCTCTGTAAATGAAGGGAATAACAATAGCCGTGAGGCCTGCACACCCGTTGTAAGTTGCTCCGGTTGGCAGGGCACCCAGGATTGGGAGGCTCTCTCTCTGGATGGAGACGTTCCCCTGCAGACAGAGCGTAAGCTGGGGCTCAGCAGGAGTCCTGAGAGTTGGGGGAAGGAGGCCTTCAGCTTATAGCCAGGATTTCACAGGTTGCAAGCACAGACTAAATCCAGACCAGCAGCTTGTACTTCTTCCACTTTCCTTGGCTCTACCTGGGTAACCCAAGGAATGCACTGGGATTCCTTGTGGGTCCCCAGGGTTCCTTTTCATAAGCAAGTGGCCATGGGAACAATCTTTTCCCCATGAGCAGCAGAGTGCAGAACCCGTGGAAGGTTCCGAGTTCCTCAGATGGGGAAGTATTCGGGCGGATTGGCCTCCTGCCCCTGTGTTCCTCCAGTTGGTGTGTGTGAGCCAGGCTAAGCCAAGCCAAGCTGCCTGTCACCCCTCCCTTCGCTGGTCACCCCCATTGCTGGGAAGCCTGGCTTGTTGGAGCCCCTCCCTGGGACTCTGCGCCCCAAGGCCCTGGGTGAGGTGGGAAGCAGGAGAGGGATAGGGGGCTGGGGCCTTTGTTGGTTTGGGACTAATTGGACTCTGTACTCTGTGCTTGGAGCCGAAGGGAGCCGATCGGAAACAGAAGACTGACCGGGAGAAAATGGAGAAAAGAACTGCCCAGGAGAAGGAGAAATACCAGCCATCCTATGAAACCACCATCCTCACAGAGGTGAGCGGCTGGGAGCGGGACAGAGCCTCCAAGGGCTGGTTTAGATTCTTGGAAAATAGCCCATCTCGGGTGAGTACTTCTGAGAGCGCCTATTCCGTTGTGGTGGGTTCCAGTGTCTGGAGCTGGTGTTCATCTGATAAGGCCCAGTGGCCCGGGAGCTGTTTCAAAAATAACTTCCAGCTCTGCTGCCTTTGAATGCATCTGTGCTTTCCCAAGTTAGGTTACTTTTTTTGGGGGGTAGGTAATGTATTCACATGGTTTTAAATTCAAAAGGTACAACAGAGTGTACAACAGAAAGTGTCCCTCCCAGTGCTGTCCCAGCCTCATGGTTTCTCCCCTCCAGGGCAGAAACCTTGTGTATCTGGCCCAACTTTCTCTGCAGGTAAAGCCAGTGTGGACACATGTTTGCCCTGTTCCTGTATTTATACACCAACAGGGTACATCGCCACACCTTGCTTTTTCCGATTATGATTATTAGCTTATCTTGGTGCCTGTTCCCTACAGCTTCCTCGTTCCTTACCTGGCTACATGGCATGGTATGTGATGGCCTGTTGGTGGGTGCGGAGTCTTGTTTGGGCTCCTGTGGTTTCAGGCAGTGGTGCAGTGAAGAACCGCATGTGGAGGTCTGCACAGGTTTCCATTCTCAGTGGGATCTGTGGGTTGGAGGGTGTAACACTTGTTATTTTGCTGTCTGGTTGCATTTTCTATTAATCCTGACAGCAATGCCAGCCTGCTCCAGCCCTCCATATGTCCAGGGGAACTCCTGAGGTGCTTGCTCTTCCTCTCCCTGCCTCCACTTTTTTTTTGTGTGTGAGACAGAGTCTTGCTGTGGCCCAGGCTGGAGTGCAGTGGCGTGATCTCTGTGGCTCACTGCAAAGTGCGTCTCCCAGGTTCAAGTGATTCTCCTGCCTCAGCCTCCCCCAGTAGCTGGGATTACAGGCACGCATCGCCACGCCTAGCTAATTTTTTGTTTGTTTTTTTGAGACAGAGTCTCCTTCTGTCACCAGGCTGCAGTGCAGTGGTGCGATCTCGGCTCACTGAAACCTCTGCCACAGGAGTTCAAGCGATTCTCCTTCCTCCTGAGTAGCTGGAAGGGCACCACCATACTCAGCTAATATTTTTGTATTTTTAGTAGAGACGAGGTTTCACCTTGTTGGCTAGGATGGTGTCAGTCTCCTGACTTCGTGATCTGCCAGCCTTTGCCTCCCAAAGTGCTGGGATTACCGGTGTGCACCGCCACACCCGGCCATTTTTTTGTATTTTTGGTAGAAACGGGGTCTCACCATGTTGGCCAGGCTGGTCTCTATCTCCTGACCTCAAATGATCCCAAAGTGCTGGTAACACTGTCCAGAGTGTTCTCCACCCCCTGATATTGTTCTCTCCCTAACTGAGCCGCTCCCTCTCTGCTGCTCAGCTGCCTCCCCCTGGGAACAGAGGTCCTGGTGAGCCGCATGCCAGGCCTGTCCAAGCCCTTGCCGCAGTGCCGTGTCGTTGCTGGAAAGCCTACCCTGGGAGGGGCCTGTGCCTCTTCTCTCAGCGGTTCAGCTTTCCTCCTTGGCTGCAGGATTTAGCACCAACAAATTTGAGCCCACACTTTCAACATTTAAATATTTACCAACCCAGTAGTTTGGTGGGTGAGAGTAAACCTTCAGGAATGCTTCAAACTGGCCCCCTCTGAAGAGGTGTCACTGCAGGGAAGGGAAGAGGTAAACTTTTTCAGCTGCCTGGACTTGCTCCAGCAGGCAAAACCTGCAAATCCTTGCTTCCTTTGGGAGACTTCACGTGCATTTGTTTTTGGCTTCCATACTAGAAAGTTTTTGAGGGCAGAGATCATATCTTTCATGTTTGTGTATCTCCCATAGCCCCCAGCAGAATGCCTGAAATGGAATGAACACCCGTTGAATTTCATTGAGAGGAGCTGCTTTTGGTGATTGTGCAAGAGCCTCCGCCCCTGTCGGCAGGCTCTTTTTTCAGATAGCGCAGGTTTTAATACTGACTCTCACTGCTTATTTTTTTTGTGTGGAAGTTGCCTGTGGTCCGGTGCTCCCTGGAACAGGCATTTACACAAATTTGTCTCTACCAGGAAAAGCTGTTTCGGAGCAACTGGCTGGTTTTGCTTTTTCTCTCTCGTGGACCCAAGAATCACGTGGCTGTGATGTTTCCCCTCTGGTTTTACCAGGAAGCCCAGAGACACCCCATCCGTGCTTCACTTGCTCCACGGGTGACTTACTAAACATTTTTGCTGGCTTCCTTCGTGTGGCCCTCATAACCTGCCTGGCAGGGCTCATTAAGGGCAGTGTGTAAACACGGCTGCGTCGGACAGGTCAGGGGTCTCATGCACTGGTCTCAGTGCATGCCTGCTTGGGAGGACCTGCGGCACGGGGCTCAGCAGCTCTCCAGATCCCAGCTCGGCCCTGTGCTCTCTCCTGCAGTGCTCTCCGTGGCCCGATGTGGCCTACCAGGTGAACAGCGCCCCGTCCCCAAGCTACAATGGCTCTCCAAGCAGCTTTGGCCTTGGCGAAGGGTACGTGCCACCTTCCTGTCTTTGGGTTCCCTGGAATGAAGACAGATGTAGTTTCCTTTCTTAGTCTTCCTTTCTGGGTCGCCTCTCCTTTCTGTGTGGGTTTCAGGGTGCCTAACTCGTGTTGAAGGCACGATTGTTGTTAGCCTTTATACAACTTGCAGTTCTCAGAAACACCCCCATAAATGTTGTCGGGTGAGGCAGCAGCCCAGAACTTACTGGCTTGATGGTGCATTGGGACAGCCAGGGCTCTGGTGCCCTGTGGGGCAGAACAGCCCTCCTGACAGTGGTGCCTTAGGGAGCAGCCTGGGAGGCCCTTCCTGGTTCTTTGTCCAGAATATTCACTGAGTGTGGGGGTGTGGGGGTCTGGCTAGGGTCATCCCTACCTTGGGTTTCAGACCTTACAGCACAGAAACTGGCTTCATTGCCGCCCCACACAGCTCTGCAGATACACAGGCCATGTGGACCCTGAGGACGTGCAACGTGCTGGAGCTACAGGCAGTTTCCTGACTGTTGTGGGCTGCACGGCCCGGGACCATGGGTCACGGTGATGGCTCTGCCTGCCCTGTGCTGGCAGCAGGGGTGGAGGCAGGGAAGTACTGGGTGGGAGGCTGCCCGATTTCTGGCTGCAGATTTCTCGGAGCTCATGCTTAGCAACAGAACTTTTCTAATGGGAAAGCGAGATTGTCTGTGAACTTGATTTTATCAAGGAGTCCCCTAGGGGAGTGGGGATAGACACAGAAACAGTGTTAGATTTAGATTTAGGCAGAGCTAGTCTTCAGTCTGTACCTTTTGGGGAGTAATTTCCTTAACCTCTCTGAGCCTCAGTTTCTCTACTACAAAAGGGGAGTAAGAATTCCACAGTCAGGAGGAACACGTGTACGATGCTTGCACCCTGTAGATACTTGGTGAAAAGTGGCAGCTGTCTTCACTGATTCCCGGTCTGGGGATCAGCCCTGTAAGGGGGTCTCATTTTCCCATTGTGGAAAAATACAAGTAGCACAAAATTTACAATTTCTAAGTTTGTGGTCTGGTGGCATTAAGTACATTCACACTGTTGTATGGCCCTCACCACTGTTCACCTGGAGAGCACTCAGGTCTGTGCCTCCTCCCCAAGCCAGTCCCAGAGGAAGCGTGTGTATCCCCTCTCAGGAAAAAACAGAATAGTGGATGAATGTCAAGCCGTGGGTGCTTGTTCCCTGCAATATAACTCCCTGTGGGATTCCTCTGTCCTCTCCTGTCACCATCTTGCAGAGGGTTTGGTGGAGGACCCTTGGGTTTGGCTGCAGCCTTCCCGGTGCTGAGGCACTGGGTGCCTTTGGTCAGCCTGCCCTTCCCTGGGGCTGGGGCTTGAATCTCCAAGTTTAAGACCAGCAGGGGTCAGCCAGCAGGGGCCTGGGATGTGCTGCAGATTACTCGATTACTCAGGGTAGAGGAGTGTCATTGGCTGGGGCAGTGTAGCCTATCAGAACTTCTTGTCTACACCGAAGGCTCAGGTAGGGATTTTGAGGGATTGGCGGTTGTCTCCTACTGTGTTTCTGTGACTCGGGAAATTCTCGAGGACTCATTTCACTTAGAAGAAGTCCTGTACTTGATGGGAGGAAGTAAGAGCGCCAGGCTGGGTTTTGGGACCTTGGCCCTGGGAGTCCCCTCTGTCCTCATCACTGGTTCTTTTTCCTTTGCAGCAACACCTCTCCGACCCACCCAGTGGAGGCCCTGCCCGTGGGCAGTGATGTAAGTGTCTGAGCAGGGTTCTCTGGCTGGTGGTCCCTTGTGGGCCCTGAGCCACCATCTCAAGGCCTGTCCCCTCTGCCCGCAGCACCTGCTCCCATCAGCCTCCATCCAGGATGCCCAGCAGTGGCTCCACCGTAACAGGTTCTCGCAGTTCTGCCGACTTTTTGCGAGCTTCTCAGGTGAGCATCTCTGAATCACGTTTAAAGCCCGTGGGCATCTCAGAAACACTTACAAGGCCGGCCACCTTCCAGGACCTGCTCTCAACCCACACAATGCTGTGGTTTCGGCTGGGAGACCCGGGGTAGTGTGGATTCACTCGCTCACGTGCCCAACCCTGGGCCAAGTGCTAGGCATAGGAGATGCTGCCCCCAGAAGGTCCCAGGTGAGTGCAACTTTATGGGGACCATCTGGGTGACTTGGTCAAGATCCCCTCACCTCTGGGGGAGGGTGAGCTCTGGTCTGTCCAGGAAGAGTCCCCTTAGCCCAGCAGGGTGATAGAAAGCCCTTCATGCTTTTCTTACCCAAGTACTGCTCCTCATACTGGCTCCAGAGCCACGACCTGGGAGATGGAGGTGAGGCCACAGATGAGACAGAAAGTGGGCTCGTCCTTCTTTAAATGGTTTCAGAGCCCTTACTAATGGGCCCTCAGACAGAAGTCCCAAGCCAGGTATTGTGGGGTGCAAAGGTGAACTGAGCGGTGAGCCTTGCTGCCGAGTAGAGTTCATCCACAGTGACAGAGTAAAGGCTCAGCCACACCTAAAGGAGCGGGTTCCACAGACATCTGTGGCAGTGGAAGAAAAATGGTCCCCGCATATCCTCAGCTCAGCACTGCTGAGAGCCTGTTGGAGGAAGGCCCCTTCGTGGGTTAGACAGTGACCCCTGTCCTTGGGAGCTTGCAGCTGTAGGTCAGCACAGATGTGGAACTTGCTCATTTCAGTGCGGTGTGACGTGTGTGATTGGGGTGGGGGGTTCAGAGGGGACCCTGAGCTGGACTGGGTGGAGGAGGGGAGGAGTGCTGGCCGTGGTTGAAAGTAGAGCAGTCAGCCACCATGTGGGCACCTGCCTTGTGTGGTCACGCAGAGGACCCAGGTAGAGTGGAGTGGGCCCAGGGAGGAGAGGTCAGAGAGGCACTGAAGGACACAGACAGGATGGGGACCCTGGAAGAACTCTGACTTTTACTCTGAATGGAAAGGAAGCCATTGCGTCTATAGAATTGTCCCTAAAACCATATCTTATGTGGCAGGGGGAAGGGGTGGGAATTGTGGCCTTGGGCATGCTTTCGACTGAGGCTGATGTGCTAGTACCTTGGAGAGTAAGTGGGACCAGGCTCTCGGGGACCCCTTGGGCTTGAGGAATGGGCAGCCCTCATGCCATGCTTGCTTCTATCCATCCTTCCTCTGTTCCTTTAAATATGGCCCCATCCTCACATGCTGCAGTGGAACTGTACGTGGATGTGACACTCTGGGAAACTGTTGGCAGTATCTGCCAGGGCTGTGACCTGGCAGCCCTCTCCGGGGCTACACCCGGCAGACACGCACATGTGTAATGAACAAAGATGTGTATGAGAATGTTCAGCGAGCCTATTAATAACAGCCAAGATTAGAAACACCCCCAGTGCCCATCCACATAGAGTGGGTATGTGGATTGTGGTGTAGTCACACAATGATGATAGATAATAATGGGCATGAGCAATCTGTGACTACGTTCAACACAAATGCCCCATGAAACATGACTTGGAGAGAGGGAAGGCAGACCAGGAAGAGTGCCTACCGTTCAATTCCATGTACAGAAACTGTAGAGAACATGCAAAATGTGTCTGCACTGTAGGAAGTCAGGATAGTGGCTCCTCTGGATTGGTGTGGGGGTGGTGACTGGCACGAGGGGCCTACAGGAGGCTGGTAATGTTCCACTGCTTGCTCTGAGTACTGGGTACAGGGGTTCATTCAGATGGTCAGCATCCAGTGAGTTGTATACTTCCATAAACAGATAGATGCACGTGTGGCCAGTGCCCTGTGCTGATGACATCTATGCATACTGATTACGTGTCAAAGAAAAGGAGAAGAGGCCAGACTTACTGGCTTAGGTCTGTAATCCCAGTACTTTGAGAGGCTGAGGTGAGTGGATTGCTTGAGCTCAGGAGTTCAAGACCAACCAGCCTAGGCAATATAGAGAGACCTCATCTCTTAAAAAACAAACAAAAAAGACTAGGCATCTGTAATCCCAGCACTTTGGGAGGCTGAGGCAGACGGATCACCTGGGGTCAGGAGTTCAAGACCAGCCTGGCCAACATGGTAAAATACCATCTTTGCTAAAAATATAAAAATTAGCCAGTTTTGGTGGCGGGCACCTGTAATCCAGCTACCTGGGGGGCTGAGGCAGGAGAATCACTTGAACCTGGAAGGCAGAGGTTGCAGTGAGCCAAAATGGTGCCACCGCCCTCCAGCCTGGATGACAGAGCGAGACTCTGTCTCGAAAAAAAAGGAAAAGAAAAGAAAGGGAGGCAGGCAGTGGGGACCTGTTCTACTCATTGTTGTGAGTACTGGCAATTCCTGGGCTGTGATCTATCTTCTGATGTGTTGAGAGTTTTGCCATTTTTTTCTCTGTGAGATGTCTGGTGCCTACCACAGGTGCAGCTGGCTCTTCCTCACCCCCTCCCCCAGTGCTCTGTGGTCTGCAGGTGCTTGGGGACAGAGCCCTTTTTCTGTGCTCCATGTAACAGGTGTCCCCATCTTCCTGCTTAGGTGCTGACTTGCTGAAGATGTCCCGTGATGATTTGGTCCAGATCTGTGGTCCTGCAGATGGGATCCGACTCTTCAATGCCATCAAAGGCCGGTAGGTGTTGGTTTCTCTGGGAAGCCAGCCGAAGGCTTGTGTATGTGGCATCTGGCAGGAAGCCCCTACCTCAGCCTCTTGGATGGCAGGTAGTCTGGCTGGCAGGGACAGGGCTCCTGAAGTGTGGGGTCAAGAATAGGAGGAGGTGTGGCAGGAGGGGTCCAGGTCACAGCAGGGGCATGAGACACTGCAGAGGGAGATGTGGCCCATGTGGCCGGCTGCTGCAGACCCCACCTGGAGACCTCTCCCTCTTCTTGGTTGGATGAGAGCCTTGACCTCTGGATCCTGGCCTCTGAGCCACTTGCCCAAGTTCTCACATGCTCGTGTGGTCCTGGGCTCTCAGCTGCCCCCTCCCCAAGGGGAGCTTTGGACTGGGGCTGGTCAGATGGCATCATGCAGCAGTTTCAGGGCAGACTCCAGAGCAGCACCGCCCTGTGGACCTTCCTGCCATGGCAGAGATGTTCCACAGCCATGCTGACCACGTGTGGCTGTGGACCTCACCACGTGAGGCTGATGTGATGGGTGAAATTTTTATTTAACTTCAGTGAATTTAAGTTTTCATAGCTACGCATGGGCAGCATGGTTTCAGAGTGGAGCCAGGGTTTGGGTCCCAGATCTGCCTCTTAGGTGCTGTGCAGTGAAGGGAAAGCCCTCTGCCCTGCGAGCCTCAGTTTCCTCAAATGTGAAATGAGAGCGATGGTTGTATGAGGATGAAATGAGCTATGCATGTTCTGAGAACAGTACTTGGTGCACAGCAAGGCACAGACAGTGCCCGCTCTAATTGCTGCCTGAAAATGTCTCGTATGTTGAGCTTCATGTTCTGGGGCAGAGTTCCCCTGGGCAGGCTGTGGGACCTGGGAGGATCATCCACCGACCCATGACAGCCACTCTGCCTCCCTACCTCTGTCTTTTTTCCAACCCGATTTCTGCCCACTGTTCTTTCCATCATGGAATGTTCTGAAACAGCCATGCTTGGTCCACCACACCTACTCTGTATTTTCTCTTCTCCTGCCAGGAATGTGAGGCCAAAGATGACCATTTATGTCTGTCAGGAGCTGGAGCAGAACCGAGTGCCCCTGCAGCAGAAGCGGGAGGGCAGTGGAGACAGCAGCCTGTGTGGTGAGTTGTGGAGAGCAGAGCTGGGACCCACACATTGGGCCCCACAGCCACTTTTGAGCCCGCAGTCCAGCCTCTGTTCATTTCCAGTGAATAGTGTAGGACAGTCTGGGGCTCCCCCATACCCACATGTGCAAAGGGCAGCCTAGTGCATGCTCCTTGCATGGTGCATGGTCTGACCCTGCAGTGCGGATGCTGCCCCAGTGTACACGCTGAGGCTTGGAAAGGTGTTGGGATTGCCCCAGGTCTTGCTTCCAGTGAGTGGCAGTGAGGATTAGAGTCAGGAATGCCCACTCTGGAGCATTTTATTTCCCCAAACTGCTCCCTACGCAGCTCCTAATGAGAGGAGGCTCACGAGAACCTCAGAGGTGTGGCTGTCAGCTTTCCTGCTGCCACCACTTCCAGTGGCCATGGTGAAAGGTGCCAGCCTGAGATCCTGCTATTTGTTTTTGCTAGCAGCTTGGTTTGTTTTAGGGGCAAAATTATGGCTGGGTGTGATGGTTCATGCCTGTAATTCCAGCACCTGGGGAGGTAGGAGGATTGCTTGAGCCCAGGAGTTCAAGGCCAGCCTGGGCAACATAGCAAGACCCCATCTCTAAATACTGAAAGAGTAGGCCAGGCGCCGTGGCTCACGCCTGTAATCCCAGTACTTTGGGAGGCCTAGGTGGGCAGATCACTTGAGTTCAGCAGTTCGAGATCAGCCTCGAACTGAAACCCTGTCTCTACTAAAAAAAATACAAAACTTAGCCATGCATGGTGGCGTCTATAATCCCAGCTATTCTGGAGGCTGAGGTAGGAGAATCACTTGAACCCGGGAGGCAGAGGTTGCAGTGAGCCGAGATTATGCCACTGCACTCCAGCCTGGGCAACAGAGTGAGACTCCATCTCAGGAAGAAAAAGAAAAAAGAAAAGGATAAAGAAGGAATAAAATTAGAAACAGTAGAACTGGCTCGGAACAGTTGAAAAAGAAAAATGTACAGTTAGAATTCTCTTACAAAAAAGGAATCTTAGCACAAAGGGCTGGGCTTCTCACCTGGTTTCATACTGGAAGGAACACTGCACAGTGCATGGCGATCTCACTATGGTCAGGATCTGGTGAGTAGCTGGAGCCCGGTGGCCTCTGCCACCCTCTTCTCACAGAGCCACCCTATGTGTGTGGTGCCCAGGCTGGAGTGCTGTCGTGCATCCCTGACTCACTGCATCCTCAACCTTCTGGGCTCAAGTTATCCTCTTGCCTCATCTCCCCGAGTTGCTGGGACCACAGGTGCACACCACCACACCTGGCTAATTCTTGTATGTTTTTATAGAGATGTAGTCTCACTCTGTTGCCCAGGCTGGTCTCAAACTCCTGTGCTCCAGAGATCCGCCTGCCTTGGCCACCCAGAGTGCTGGGATTATAGGCATGAGCCACGATGCCCACCTGTGTATGCTTTTAAACTATTAGGTCTCTGATCAGGTTTATTGAACCAAGGGTTCTCAGGTGGGGGAAAGGCTTGAGAACCTTGAATTTAATGCAATTGCATTTGCTTTTGAGGAACTCGAGGTCCTTTGAAGTTGAGTAATGAACCCTCGGTTGTGGTTGTGTTTACTTCTGCCCAGCTGGTGCGGGCTGGGTCTGTGTCAGTGTCACTGTTCTCTTCTGACCTGCTGACACTGCGGTGGCCTCCCGGTGTCCCATTCTTTCCTTAGGGTCACTGTACTCAGGCTGAGTATGGCTTGTGTTGCGGGGAGGGACAAAGACCAGGCCTTCTTTCTGCTGTCAAGTAATAGTTCCTTTTCATTTGCATTCATCGACCTCCAGCTGCCCAACAACCCTTTAAACAGTGAAAAGAGCTGAAAAGGGACAGGATTTGTTCCTTTCTTCTGAAGTGGGTTCATATCTGGCTGCGTGTCAGAATTGCCTGACTTCCCTTCAGCCCAGCTGGGTGTCGTCACTGGGCCTGGGACGGGTCTAGGTAATCTCTGCATTTCACATAAGCACCCCAAGAACGACTGAGAGGAATCAAGAGTAGCAGCCTGCTGGGCACGGTGGTTCACACCTGTAATCCTAGCACTTTGGGAGGCCAAGGTGAGCACATCGCCTGAGGTCAGGAATTCACAACCAGCCTGGTTAACATAGTAAAACCCTGTTTCTGCTAAAAATACAAAAATTAGCAGGGCATGGTGGTGTACACTTGTAATCCCAGCTACTTGAGAGGCTGAGGCAGGAGAATCACTTGAACTCAGGAGGCAGAGGTTGCAGTAAGCAAAGATTGTGCCACTGCATTCCAGCCTGAGCGACTGAGTGAGCCTCCATTGCCAAATGAAACAAAACAAAGAGAGTGGCAGCGTGGTCCCACCCTGCCACCCTGGGCATGGCATCCTGACAGAGGACTTACTGCTTTCTCAGGATGGGGTGGGAGGGCACAGGCAGGCTCATGCTAACAGAATAGCCACTTGGAAAGCGATGCTTGGTCCTCCCTCCCCCAGTGTACCATGCCATCTTCCTGGAAGAGCTGACCACCTTGGAGCTGATTGAGAAGATCGCCAGCCTGTACAGCATCTCCCCCCAGCACATCCACCGAGTCTACCGGCAGGGCCCCACCGGCATCCATGTGGTGGTGAGCAACGAGGTGAGCATTGCTGCCCGGCCTGCCCTGACAATGTGCTCTGGGCCCCGGGAGGAACTTCAGAACCCCTGTCCCAGAAACACACTTGGGTTTGGGAATGACAGACAGGTTTGTCTGCACGCCACCTGCTGCTGTGGCTGTCTGGGGCCAAGAGAGAGTGCTGAGGCCCTGTCTGGGTCCAAATGGCTGGCATGCCGAGTAGCCACTCCTTACCCCTCCTTGGCCGGGTGCCCTGTGGGAGCCTGGAGCACACACTCCACTCTGCCCAAAGTGCTTACATCAAGGTTGTGGAGGTCAAGAGAGTGGCGTTCCCCCAGGGTGGCTGACAGGCCCCAGGGAAAGGTGGAATGGACGTGGGGGCAGGTGATGGTGAGGCTGTGGTTTGTAGGGGAGGAGAGCAGAGGCCTCTGCCAAGTGGTGAAGGATCCACAGCCTTCCTGGGTGGCACAGGGCTGTGCAGAGCACAAGTAGCTGCTGGCAGAGGGCTCAGGTACTGTGGTCTCCAGGTATCTTACCCCACCACTGGCTAAGAAGGGGTGTGGAATATGCTTGCTGACATATTCAGACAAAGGCATTCCTTGCAGGTTGTAGAACAGAGGCTTTTAAGTTTGTTCTATACTGGACTGCATCCACCTAATAACATAAGTGTGTACTGTGTCCTGGCTGTTGTTTTAAGTGTATACATAGCGACTCATTTAATCCTGCCTGTCTCTCTATGTCATGGATGTTATTAGTATCCCATTTCACAGATGGGGGACTGAGGCACAGAGGCTTAGTAATTGCCTCTGGTTACACAGCGGGTAAGGGGTGGAGCTGTGGTGGGAGGGAACCCAGGGACTGCGGCTGTAGGGCCCAAGCTCTGAGTCTGCAGATTCCCAGCCCTTACTGAAGTCAAGCCTTTATTTATTTATTTAAAAATTTGTATTTTAAAAAAATGGAGACATGGTCTCACTGCATTGCCCAGGCTGGTCTTGAACTTGGGCTCAAGCAGTCTTCCTGCCTCAGCCTCCCAAAGTGCTGGGATTATAGGTGTGAGCCACCATGCCCGACTTTTTTTTTTGGGGCAGAGTCTCACTCTGTTATCTAGGCTGGAGTGCTGTGGTGCCATCTTGGCTCACTGCAACCTCTACTTCCCAAGTTCTTGCAATTCTCCTGCCTCAGCCTCCTGAGTAGCTGGGACTATAGGCACACACTGCCACTCCTGGCTAATTTTTTTGTATTTTAGTAGAGATGGGGTTTCACCGTGTTGCTCAGGCTGGTCTCAAACTCCTGAGCTCAGGCAATCCACCCACGTCGGCCTCCCAAAGTGCTGGGATTATAGGCATGAGCCACTATACCCAGCTTTTTTTTTTTTTTTAAATTTTTGTGAGACAAGGTCTTGCTCTATCGCTCAGGCTGGTATGATTTCAGCTCATTGCAACCTCTACCTCCCAGGCTCAGGCCATCCTTCCATGCCAGGCTCTTGAGTAGCTGGGACTACAGGCACTCACCAACACGCCTGACTGATTTTTTATAGATACAGGGTTTTGCCATGTTGCCCAGGCTGGTCTCGAACTCCTGGGCTCAAGTGATCCACCCACCTTGGCCTCCCAAAGTGTTGGGATTGCAGGCATGAGCCACCGTGCCTGGCTGAAGTGAAACCTTTAAACAGGGCTGTGCTGGTGAGAGCAGGGATGGGATCATGTGCCCCCAGCTCAGACCCCAGCAGACCCCGAGTACATCGGGGAACTCTGAAGTCCTCTGTATAGAGGATTATAGAGCCCCGCCCCACCCTGGACCAGCAAAGGAGTGGTAGCACACAAGGACAGCATTTGTGGATTAAGACTGATTCGTTTCTTCCCATGCCTGGTCCTTGCCTTTGCTGGTGGTGCTGCCAAGAGTGTTCCTGACCTAGTGACATTGAGTACTGAAACAGTGACTGGGAAAAGAAGAGAAAAATGCAGGCTTTGGAATTGGACTGGTGTCCAGAACTGCCTCCTAGTTGGTGAATGACTTTGGGGAAATTTGCTGAACCTCTCTGTGCCAGTTTCCACATCTGCAAAACAGGGATGCATATACCTGTGGAACAGACTGTAGTGCAAAGTGAGAGAACAGTGGCAGGGGCCAGGAGACACTAAACAAGGAGTGGGTGTCGTCATCGACCATGAACCTGCCGGGCACTTGTTATTTTGGGAAGTTAGTGGTAGAGAGATCTTAATAGATTTCAGGATGTATAAAAACATCACACTTTGAAGGGTTTGTATATTTCATAGGTTGACGTTAATAATCCTCTTGCCACTTGTCATTTCAACTGCCAGAGCCCTTGTATGTTCATGAGTACTTCATCTCAGTCTTGCAGGTCATGAGAGGGGTATTCCCCCAGGGTGGGTGACAGGTCCCAGGGAGAGGTGAAATGGACTTGGGGGCAGGTGATGGCGAGGCTGTGGCTTGTAGAAAAGGAGAACAGAGGCCTCTGCCAAGTGGTGAAGGTGCCACAGCCTTCCTGGGCGGCACAGGGCTATACAGAGCACCGGATTTTTCCTGCCTTTTACATTCAAAGTAATTTGTAATTAGCATAAGAAGTTAACATAGAAGAGCAGAAGGCAAATGTGAAAAACCCTTACCTACCCCCATTTTTTTCTCCAGGAAGAGTTATTAGGTTTGATATGATTCTGCAAGGTAATTATTTTATGCTCTTGTCTCTATATGTGCCCTAGTGTATGTAGATGTAGGTTTTTAAAACATGCAGGCTGGGCATGGTGGCTCACATCTGTAATCCCCACTCTGGGAGGCTGAGGTGGGCAGATCACCTGAGGTCAGGAGTTCGAGACCAGCCTGACCAACATGGCAAAAAAATTAGTCAGGTGTGGTGGGCACCTGTAATCCCAGCTACTCAGGAGGCTGAGGCAGGAGAATCACTTGAACCCTGGAAGCGGAGGTTTCAGTGAGCTGAAATCGTGCCACTGTACTCAGGCCTGAGCGACAGAGCAAGACTGCATCTCAAAAAAAAAAAAAAAATTAAAACATGAAGCAAACATCCAGCCCTACGTTTATCTGCAACTTGCTCTTTTTGTCACCAGTTCAGAATTACTTTTATATCACATTCAAATCTAATCCAACGTTTTTGTTTTGTTTTGTTTTGTTTTGTTTTGTTTTTGAGACACGGTTTCACTCTGTAACTCAGGCCGGAGTGCAGTCATGGCTAGACTCATCGCAGCCTTGACCTCCTGAGCTCAGGTGATCCTCCTACCTCAGCCTTCTGAGTAGCTGGGACCACAGGCATATGCCAACCACGTCTGGCTAATTTTATTTTTTTAAAACTTTTTGTAGAGACAACATTTTGCCATGTTGCCCAGGCTGGTCTTGAACTCCTGGGCTCAAGTGATCCACCTGCCTCCGCCTCCCAAGGTGCTGGGATTACAGGCATGAGCCGCTGGGCTTACAGGCATGAGCCACTGTGCTCAGTCTAGCCATTTTTTTTCACTCCCATTTTACCGATGAGGAAAATGAAGCTTGAAGTTCCTAACCTGAGAGCTGACTTTAGAATAGCCAGGAAGGTGAACGTGCTGAGAGCAGTGGACAGCTGTGGTGTCACAGAAGGCTTGTCACCTTGCATTTCAAAACAAATTTCCTTTTGTGAAGATGAAAGCCAAAAATGTGGGGAACCCTTGCAATGTCACTGGTCCCTGAAGGCAGTTCCTTCCTCAGTTTGCCCTGTGTGCTCAAGAGTAGGCAGTGAAGCAAGTGAAGCAGAGAGCAGAACCCAAATACCACCTCGCCTAAGTAGGCGATTCTCATTCCCCAAGGTCTCCTTGCCTCTTAACCCGGAATGTATTGGAAACCTTTGGTTCTTAATTGCCCAGAGTGCTGGAGGCAGCCTGGGCAGCTGCAGAGCCGACCCCTGGGGTGCAAGGGCACTTTATTAAACAAGAGAGTTACTGATTAAGCCCATGTGGGCTCTGCATACCCAAGTGGCTGGGCTGCCAAGAGTCCTAGATGGAGCAGGCCAGCAGAATAGAATAAATGTACTTCACGCATCATTAGGCCCTGTGGGAGGGGCAGGGGGTGACAGGTGGATGGGTTTGCAAGATTCGAGGCAGTAATCCACAGCAGGCCATAAAATTTGGATGGCATTTTTTCAATTTGAAAAGGGGTTTTGATATTGTGTTAGCTAGTGTGTCTGTATTGTGTATATGTTTATATATTTTATTTTTTGGTTTTTTTGGAGATGGAGTCTCGTTCTGTTGCCCAGGCTGGAGTGCGGTGGTGTGATCTTGGCTCACTGCAACCTCCACCTCCTGGGTTCAGGCGATTCCCCACCTCAGCCTCCAGAGTATTTGGGATTACAGGCACCCGCCATCATGCCTGGCTAATTTTTGTATTTTTAGCAGAGACGAGGTTTCACCGTGTTGGCCAGATTGATCTCGAACTCCTGACCTCAGGTGATCCACCTGCCTCAGCCTCCCAAAGGCTACTGGGATTACAGGCGTGAGTCACTGCTCCTGGCCTGTTTATACATTTAAAAAATATTCTTTAAATGTGAACTGTGAAATTCAGCATAAATATGGAAAGAATATATAAAACTCTTTGCACAATTAAAGAATCATTGAAGTACCCATGTACCTGCACTAAGGTTACCAGAATGTTTATGTTAGAAACCCCTTTGTGGACTGATTTCATAACAGTCAACCAGCTAGCATGAATTTTCTATTAAGCATTCCCTTGCTCCTCCTCCATATATTGTTTAATTTTGCTATTTAAAAACTTTTTATAAGTGAAATCATAGTATATTCTTTTGTGACTTCTTTCATTCCACATTTTGTTTGGAGGTATACAGCTGGAGCTTCTTGGCACTGCCGAGGAGCTTGATTCCATCACAGCTGGTTCATGTGTCTGCTGTTGACTTACTGCTGGCAGGAGTTTGATGTAACTGCAGGTGGCGCTGTGCTGAGCAGTCTCATGCCTGTCTTCGTGATGCAGGAGTTTGTCTAGAGCTCATGACTTGTAGAAGAGTGTAGGAAAAGTTCCTTGCTGGAAATGCATGGTCATTCTTAGCAGGTCCCATGAACCGTGTTAGAGAGGTTGACATCCCCTCCAGTAGTGGACACAGTTCCTGTTGCTCCACATTCTGGTTGTATTTTTGTCATTAAATCAGCTCCATTTTACAGATAGAGCCATGGAGCCAGAAAGTTAAGAAGGTTGGCTTGTCCAAGGTCACTGGGTAGTTAGTTCATCAAACTTAGAACTGTAGAGAAGAGGCTGCTGAGCAGTGTCCTGCCCCATTTAGAGACACACATAGTGGAGCCCTCCTTTATATTTCGTCCTTGTAGGATGCTGACGTGCAGACCCTACTGGATCAGGCCCTGCAAGGGGCAGGGGGCGACAGGTGGATGGATTTGCAAGATTCTCCAGGCGGTAATCCAGAACAGGCCATAAAATGTGGATGGCATATTTTTCAATTTGAAAGGGTTTTTGCTATTGTATTAGCTTATGTGTGTGTGTGTGTGTGTGTGTGTGTGTGTGTGTGTGTGTGTGTATTGTGTGTATGTTTATATATTTTATTTTGTTTATTTATTTTTTTGGAGGCAGAGTCTCGCTCTATTGCCCGGGCTGGAGTGCAATGGCGTGATCTTGGCTTACTGCAACCTCCACCTCCCAGGTTCAAGCGATTCTCTTGCCTCAGCCTCCAGAGTAGCTGGGATTATAAGGCCCCTGCTATCATGCCTAGCTAATTTTTGTATTTTTAATAAAGATGGGGTTTCACTATGTTGGCCTGGTTGGTCTTGAACTCCTGACCTCAGGTGATCCACTCACTGGCCTCACCAGTACCAAAGTTTCTGTTTTTAAAAGCGTTATATTTAGGTGTTTTTATCTGTTGCTGTTATTCACATACACATTCCTACAATATGTCCGTTACAGGGATTGGAAGAATCAGTAACTAGGAAAAAGCAAAAAGTGCAAACAAAGAGAAATCAGTGGCCCAGTATTAAATGGTAGTATTTCGATACCCTTTTGGGCCTCTTTCCATCGTTCGTGTTCATACTAGCTGGTTGGGGTTATGTTCAGGTTTCTGCTACTTACACTGCAGTCATGTTACACATTGATTGTGTGTCCTCTTTTTTTGGTGAATGTTATGACAGAACCATGTACCTGCTGCGTTCATAGGCACTGTGGCAGTGGTGTTTACTGCGTTCTTGCAACAGTGGTGGTTACTGTTTTCCTGTGTCTGTAGACACTGTGGCGGTGGCGTTTACCGTGTTCCTGTGTCTGTAGACACTGTGGCAGTGGCGGTTACCATGTTCCTGTGTCTGTAGACGCTGTGGCGGTGGCGTTTACCCTGTTCGTGTGTCTGTAGATGCCGTGGCGGTGGCATTTACCGTGTTCCCGTGTCTGTAGACGCCGTGGCGGTGGCGGTTACCGTGTTCCCGTGTCTGTAGACGCCGTGGCGGTGGTGGTTACCGTGTTCCCGTGTCTGTAGACGCCGTGGCGGTGGCGGTTACCGTGTTCCCGTGTCTGTAGACGCCGTGGCGGTGGCGTTTACGGTGTTCCCGTGTCTGTAGACGCCGTGGTGGTGGCGTTTACGGTGTTCCCGTGTCTGTAGACGCCGTGGCGGTGGTGGTTAACGGTGTTCCCGTGTCTGTAGACGCCGTGGCGGTGGCGTTTACGGTGTTCCCGTGTCTGTAGACGCCGTGGCGGTGGTGGTTAACGGTGTTCCCGTGTCTGTAGACGCCGTGGCGGTGGCGTTTACGGTGTTCCCGTGTCTGTAGACGCCGTGGCGGTGGCGTTTACGGTGTTCCCGTGTCTGTAGACGCCGTGGCGGTGGTGGTTAACGGTGTTCCCGTGTCTGTAGACGCTGTGGCGGTGGCGTTTACGGTGTTCCCGTGTCTGTAGACGCAGTGGCGGTGGTGGTTAAAAGTGTTCCCGTGTCTGTAGACACTGTGGCAGTGATGTTTCTGCAGCTGCGCAAGGCTGGACTCAGTCACCGAGGCTTTCCAAATGATAAACTCATGGTTGACGGAACATGTTCTCTCTTTTGCCTTTCAGATGGTACAGAATTTCCAAGATGAATCCTGTTTTGTACTCAGCACAATTAAAGGTGAAGCCCTCCTCCCCTCTCTCTTCCCCCCTTGTTTAATTGAGGTGTGTAGGCTGCATCCCTGGGGCAGCTTTGGAGGCAGGTGGGAGAGTGGGGCCTGACTGCAGGATGGGCCCTTCCAGACAGTGCTGACCTGGAAAAAGCCTTTGGGGAAAAGAAAACACATACTCCCTGTGAAAGCTAGCTTTAAAAATGGCAGAACTAGTGAGATTGGCCCCCAAGGTCACTTCTGAAAGGGAAAGCCTGGGCCAGGCAACTTGTTGTCCGTGAACTCAGTGTTGAGTAGAAGCAAGAAGCATTGCACATTGCCTGGAGTCCTCCAGGAAGACCAAGCCTGGAATACAGCCACGGAGTCTGCAGGCAGCGTGGGTCAGGAATGGGGGCGAGGAGGACCACCTGACAGTGTGCCTGTGCTCTGCCAAGGAAGAGCTTGTGGGCCAGGAACATGTATTTACTCATAAAAGGTAGAGGAAGACCTGCTGTGGCCTTCGTAAGGGCTGGGGTGCATGTATAGGGTATATCAGAACAAAGCCCTCTGACCGACTCATAGACCCTGGACCATGGTGAAGCCATTTCCCGCCTTGTCCTGTTTATCTAGCCACCGATATCTTTAGGGCCTGGGGGCCATAATATTCCTGAGAAGCACAGTTGTGCAAATCTTCCTTGGAATACAGGTTTTCATCCTTGGGCCTAGGGCTATGGTGGAAAGACCTATTGTTAAAAAGACCTATTGTTAAAAAGGCATGTGAGATCTCTGCTTCTGCCAGCACTCTTTGCTGTATGCAGCCCTATTTTGGTGGTCTTTCCTGATACCCTAACAGCCTGCCTTTTGGGGCTCCCCGATACCATGGCACTGTACCTTTTTTCCTGTGAAATATGCCCTGTGTTTCTCTCTTGCAGCCGAGAGCAATGATGGCTACCACATCATCCTGAAATGTGGACTCTGAGCAGCACTGGGCCATGTACCTGCCTCTAGCTCCCAGCCGCATGGATCCCTGTGGATGTAGAAATTGCCCCACTGTAAGCTGTGGCCTCGCCAGGCAAGCTGAGGCCAGGAGGGACCCTGCCCAGTCTGTGAAAGCTACGTAGCACCAACCAGCAGAAGCCCGTGGACACCAAGTACCATGTGCAGAAAGCCAGTGGCTCCTCTCTCCCTTCCTCTTGGCCTCCAGAGTTGGAATGGTTCCTTGTTCTTTTCTGTTGGTCCAACCCTAACGTTGTAAAAGGGAAAAAAGTAGAAACGTCTGCTCTGAAACCCCTTGACCCTTAGTTGGAAGCTTCTTGGGTGTTTTGGTGCCGCCTCTCTCGGTCCCTTCTGAGCACTCTCCTGCCTCGGAGAAAGCTCGGCTTCACCCTGGAAGCTGGTACCCTTACCTCCTCCTCTGGGAATTGGCTGCATGGCCAGCACTGCTGACTTGATGGGAGCAGTTTGCGCTCCTGCCCCTGTCTTCACGTTCGCTTCCCTTCTCGGTGACCCTGGCGAGCTTCCGTCTTTCCTGTTCTTGGATGAATTGACGGGAGTGGGGCTGTTGTGTGCCTTCTACCTCTTTCTTCTCTACCTTGTTTCTAAGGATCTGCTGCTGTGGAACCCAAAGATGAGCTCCTATCTCTGCATCGGCGCTTTGGCGCGGTGGATGCCACAATGCACATGTGCATCTTTTCTCTGTTTTGTATTTTTCTTTCCCCCACCGGATCGCTGTTTAACAGCCTTTCTCGAAGATGTTAGTTCTGAGGCCCTTTGTGGGGAGATGGGGGGCGGTAATAGAAAAGACTTGTATTTCCTGGGCAATCGTGGGTAAGGAGGATTAGGAAGGAGCATTCCATTGTTATCATCAGCTGACCTTGACCACCACAATACCAGGCCCTGTTGGATGGACTTACAGAAAGTTAGAGAAAACGTTGGTGACCCACTGCTAAATCTGCCACAGGAGCATTGTATTTTCTCTGGGCGCCCCTCACGTCAATGTTTCTCTTGGTTTGTTTGTAAGGGGTATGTTTAGGGTGTTTTGCCTGCATCAGAATGGGTGTGTCATCGTTCCTAATGGCCTAACTGCGGGGAAATGTGAGTGTCAGTAACTGTGGTAGGTGCAGAAATACGTCTGTCTTGCCTCTGGTTCCTGGGATCCAGTTGTCTCTACTGGCTAGGGCTTCAGCTCTTTGTTAATTTAGTTTCATGGAGAACGCCATGACCACCTGAATGGGATATCATAGCTTCTGAATGGAGCTTCTGTGGAATGAAGTGCTAGCCTGAAGGATTATCAGAATAAAACAAGGTCTACAATGGGTAGAGCTTGTTTTATAGATGAGGAAACCGAGGCTCAAAGGGGCAGAGTCACCTGCATGGTAGCACATAGTGATAGGGTAGTGATATAAATTTATCATATAAACTAGGATATTTCAGCCCTAGGGGCCTTGTTAGTCATTATCTTGGGTAATAGCCATGGCATTCCTACAGAACAGAGTGAAGACAGGCTCCCGATTCCTCCTCCTTTTTTAGAGGGGAAGCGGGGAGTGGGTTAACTAATAGCTTTAGGCTGACTTCATTTTTGGACTCAGCCCACCCACACCCGGGTGAATTAAAAAAAAAAAACTGACAGCTTTATGAAGACGTAATTCACATGTCATGCAGTTTACCCATTTCTAGTGTCCAATTCTGTCGTTTTTAGTAAATTCACAGACCCACAATCAGTTCACAGAATTACAGTCAATGTTGGAACATTTTCGTCACCCCCAGTAGAAACCCCGTACCATTTGTCACTCCCCTGCTTTCCCGACTCTTGCAGTCCAGGGCGGCCGTGAATCTACTCTCTGTGTAAGATTGACCTACTCTGGACATTTCATATGTCTGGAATCATGTGATACGGTCTTTGGTGACTGGCTTCTTCCACTGAAATGTTTTCTAAGGCCATCCAAGTTCAGCATGGATCAGTACTTCATTACTTTTTCTTTTCTTTTTTTTTTTTTAAATTGCACTTTAGGTTCTGGGGCACATGTGCAGAACATGCAGGATTGTTGCATAGGTACACACATGGCAATGTGGTTTGCTGCCTCCATGCCCCCGTCACCTACGTCTGGCATTTCTCCCCATGTTATCCCTCCCCAACCTCCCCACTACCACACTGTCTCTCCTTTGGTCCCCACCCACAGACCCCAGTGTATGATGCTCCCCTCCCTGTGACAATGTGTTCTCATTGTCCAATACCCGCCTATGAATGAGAACATGCAGTGTTTGATTTTCTGTTCTTGTGTCAGTTTGCTGAGAATGATGGTTTCTAGATTCATCCATGTCCCTACAAAGGACATGAACTCATCATTTTTTATGGCTGCATAGTATTCCATTTTATATATGTGCCGTATGTTCTTTGTCCAGTCTATCATCGATGGGTATTTGGGTTGGTTCCAGGTCTTTGCTATTGTAAACAGTGCCGCTATGAACATACATGTGCATGTGTCTTTATAATAGAACAATTTATAATCCTTTGGATATATACCCAGTAATGGGATTGTTGGGTCAAATGGAATTTCTGTTTCTAGGTCCTTGGGGAATCACCACACTGTCTTCCACATGGTTGAACTAATTTACACTCCCACCAACAGTGTAAAAGTGTTCCTATTTCTCCACATCCTTTCCAGCATCTGTTGTCTCCAGATTTTTTAATGATCGCCATTCTAACTGGCGTGAGATGGTATCTCAATGTGGTTTTGATTTGCATTTCTCTAATATTCAGTGATGATGAGCATTTTTTCATATGTTTGTTGGCCTCATATATGTCTTCTTTTGAAAAGTGTCTGTTCATGTCCTTCACTCACTTTTGAATGGGTTTGTTTGTTTTTTTCTTGTAAATCTGTTTTAGTTCTTTGTATATTCTGGATATTAGCACTTTGTCAGATGGGTAAATTGCAAAAATTTTTTCCCATTCTGTTGGTTGCCAGTTCACTCTAAATGATTGTTTCTTTTGTTGTGCAGAAGTTCTGGAGTTTAATTAGGTCACATTTGTCTATTCTGGCTTTTGTTGCCAATGCTTTTGGTGTTTTGGTCATGAAATCCTTGCCTACTCCTATGTCCTGAATGGTTTTGCCTAGGCTTTCTTCTAGGGTTTTTATGGTATTAGGTCTTATGTTTAAGTCTTTAATTCATCTGGAGTTAATTTTAGTGTAAGGTGTCAGGAAGAGGTCCAGTTTCTGCTTTCTGCACACTGCTAGCCAGTCTTCCCAATACCATTTGTTAAACAGGGAATCCTTTCCCCATTGCTGGTTTTTGTCAGGTTTGTCAAAGATCAGATGGTTGTAGATGTGTGGCATTGCCTCTGAGGCCTCTGTTCTGTTCCATTGGTCTATATCTCTGTTTTGGTACCAGTACCATGCTGTTTTGATTACTGTAGCCTTGTAGTATAGTTTGAAACCAGGTAGCATGATTCCTCTTGGCTTTGTTCTTTTTGCTTAGGATTGTCTTGGCTATGCGGGTTCTCTTTTGGTTTCATATGAAGTTTAAGGTGGTTACTTCATTCCTTTTTATTGCTGAATAATATTTTTTTCTTTTTTTTCTGCTGAATAATATTAAATTGTATAGATAGACCACATTGTTTATTGATTCATCCATTGATGGACATTTGTGTGTTTTTACTTTTTGGCTACTCTTAATGATGCTGCTATGAACATATTTGTACAAGAGCGTGTGTGGACATATGTTATCATTTCTTTGGGAATATACACAGGAGTGGAATTGCTAGGTCATACAGTAACTCCATGTTTAGCTTTTTGAGGAACTTCCAGATGGTTTTCTACAGCAACTGAACCATTTTACATTCCCACCAGCAATGTATTCAGGTTTCAGCTTCTCAACATCCTTGTCAACACTTGCTATTATCTGTCTTTTTGATTATAGCATCTTAATGAGTGTGAGGTGCTATCTTGTTGAGGTTTTGATTTGCATTTCCCTGACGGCTGCTGATGTTGAGCATCTTTACCTGTGCTTATGGGCCATGTGTATATCTTTGGAGAAAGGTCTGGCCAGATCCTTTGCCTAGTTTTAATTGGGTTGTCTTTTTTTTTTTAAGTTTTCTGTTTTCCTAACCACCAGACTACCAGGGATGAGCTTTCTTTTTATTGAGTTGTGTGAGCTATTTGTATATTGTAGAGGCCAATCTTTTATTAGGTATGTGATTGGTAAAATTGTTCTCCCATTCTGTGGATTGTTTTCACTTTCTTGGTAGTGTCCTTTGAAACACAAAACTTTTTTTTTTTTTTGAGACGGAGTTTCGCTCTTCTTGTTACCCAGACTGGAGTGCAATGGCATGATCTTGGCTCACCGCAACCTCCACCTCCTGGGTTAAAGCAATTCTCTTGCCTCAGCCTCCCGAGTAGCTGGGACTACAGGTGCGCACCACCATGCCCAGCTAATTTTTGTATTTTTAGTAGAGACAGGGTTTCACCTTGTTGACCAGGATGGTCTCGATCTCTTGACTTCGTGATCCACCCACCTCGGCCTCCCAAAGTGCTGGGATTATAGGCGTGAGCCACCGCGCCCGGCCCACAAAACTTTTTAATATATTTTTTCTTTTTTCTTTATCCACCATCTGAATTCCAAAACTTTTAAATTTTGTTGTCTAAGATACTTATTTTTTTCTTTTGTCACTTGTGCTTTTGATGCCATATCTAGAAAACCATTGCCCAATCCAAGGTCAAGAAGATGAATGCCTGTGTTTTCTTCTAAGAACTTTTATAGTTTTAGTTCTCACAATGGTCTTTGATCCATTTTGAGTGTATTTTTATACATGATGTGAAGCAGGGGTCCAGCTTCATTCTCTTGCTTGTGGATACCCAGTTGTCTCACTGCTTTATTGAAAAGAATATCCTTTTTCCACGGATTTGTCCTGGCACCCTAGCCAAAGGCCCCTGGTTCTTACTGCATCTTGTTTCCTGGGACGTGGTGTTGTCATTGGGAAGCTTACCGTTTTTTTCACTCAGTCCATGTTTGGCTCCACCATTTTTACAGCTGCCTTTCTATTCTGTTCTTGCTGTCTCCCTCTTTACCTGACTCAGTGGTGCTAGGTCATGTCACTCTTTGATGCCCCACAAACTTTCTTGGTGCCTGTTCCAGCTCCACACGCTAGTTCTTGGGGGAAGGTCGAGACCGGTGAATTCCTTTTATGAGTCATGAGGAAACTGAGCCATCTAGAAGTGGAATAATGTGCTCAGGGTCACACAGCCCATTAGTGGAAGGACCAGGACTAGACCTTTGGTCTTCTGAGGCCTAGCCCCTCAGGCTGTCTGTCTTCACTGTACCCAAGTGATGTCACTACCAAGACCAAATGATGGTGGGTTAAATTTTAATTCTTAAAAGTATAGGAGGCTAATATTTTACTTCTTAATTCCAAAAGAGGATCTAATAAAAGTCTGTTGCCTTGTGTGCTATTAGTAGAGGCTTCCATTTTTCTGGCCTGCCCCCTGGCATCTTCTCTCCTTACTTTCTCATGATTATAGTTAAAGCTTATAGCTTATGAAAGAATAGAAAATAACGAATACCAAACAAAAGTACACGTGGTTATTTGGTACCAAAATGTCTCAGGTGCCTGATTCAGCAGCTCCTCCCTTCCACAGGGGTCAGATGAGCTAAGGCTCCAGGTTTTATTTTTCATTTGATTGACATACAAAAAAGCCATAGGCCTTCCCAACCTGTCCAGGGTCTTTCCTGTGAGCTCGGAGTCCAGAGGTCCTGGACTGTTGAGCAGGACAGCCCTTCCCAGGGCACTTCACCAACCTGTGGCTTCTGAACTGCAGCAGTTTTTTGTTGATTTTTTTTCTTTTTCCTTTCTTGACGTACCCAAAAATAATGCTTTATCATGCAGCAGCTTTTTTAAAGTGAACCCCAGAGGGAAATAAGACAGACACCTGTGCTCAGGCCGCCATCTTGAACGGGAAGCCCAAAGCTGAGTTTTAACTCTTAGGTCATCACAGTTTTTGCTGGGTATCTGTTTGCAAGGTTGAGATAAACCCTTTCCTGTTACCAGGTTGTCCCTTCACAATGAAGGGGCAGAGGCTGTTGAATGGGGGAATAATAGGATTTGCTGGGAAAGGGGCATGGTATGCCTGTGGAAAGGACAGGATGGGGTGGGGAGGTGAAGGCTTTGCCTTGGGGTCCTAAGCAAAGGTCAGGTGTTGTCGTAGTGACCTCTTGGCTAGGCAGCCAGGATCCCCTTACACAGAGCTATTAACCTAGAGAGGCTTTACCAGCCGCGGATGGGAGCCAGCCAGGGCCACAAGTTTCCAAGTCCAGCGTTGCTTCAGGGGCTGAAGATCTGAAAATCATTAACAAGCAATGAAATAAATGGAAAAGCCTCTTAGGCTGTTGTCAGTGGAGCAGAGGGAGAAAGCCCCTAGGTGCTCAGAGGGGGTGGGAAACAGAGGATGATGGGCTGAGGTGGGGGATTAGATGTTGGCACTGCCTAGGGTTCAGGAGGAGGGACAGGGGACCAAGAATCGGGGTCCTAGATCCCATACACTCACTCAGCATGAGTCTCTTTGCCTCTCTGCGTCTCTGTCTCCTACTTTTACAAGTACAGGCCTGGCGATCTCTGCAGACGGCACCGACCTGTCATGAAATGAATCTGCGAGGCGCCAGGGCTCTCCCATTTTTCCCTCCATTAAAATTGTACAAAAAGCTGGGAATCGTGGCTCACTCCTCTCATCCTAGCATTTTTGGAGGCTGAGGTGGAGAATCGCCTGACGCCACGAGTTCGAGACCAGCCAGGGCAATATAGCGAGACTCCATTTTTTAAAAAGAAAAAATCTTTAAAAATTGCACAACAGGCAGGAGACCTTTCTGTGTGCCCGTCCTGGTGGTAGCCAGTGCCCGCAGTGCTCCTGCAGTGCACGGTGGCGTGCTTCTTGACAAGGGTCAGATTATCTCTGTCATGTCCTTGGGAATCAGCCCTAGTCCCTAACTGGACTGACTACTCCCTCAGCAAACTTACAGGGGCCCCCAGATGTTCCTTGCCAGCTGGGGACCAGACACAGTCCACAGGCATGGTCTGTGTCGTCGGTGCACATGTGTGTGTTCGGTGTGTACCTGGCTTCCTTCCCTTGCTCTTGAATTTGCCTGAGCACAGCCAGAGGCAGCTTCAGCTTGGCAGGGTGTAGAGATGGCTGCTGTTCCCTTAGCATTTGGGGGAAACAGCCTTTCCCGGTAGCCTGATGATTCCCTTTTGATTTTGTGTGACCTCCTGGAGAGTGGATGAAGTTGGTGGCCTTAGCTCTAGTGTAAGTGGCAGGCACTGGGCGAGGCCCCCAAGAGCAGGGCAAGCCCCTAGAGTGGGTCTTCCACATGACTGGCTTCACACAGGCATCTCCCCTCAGGCTGCCTGCTCTGTGTCATGCTACCAGTCCAGGGCTGCAAGTAGGAAATGTGTGTACCCGCTTCTGATTGCCACCTCCTTCCCGTTGCCCCTTGGGGACAGGGTTTGAGGGCCACTGTGGTGCTGGTCAGGCACCCCAGGCCTCCTTCCTGGGACCTGCTCAGGGACACCCTGAGAGCTCCTGAAACCCCCACTTAGCTTCCAGGCCTTTCTGCAAAAGCTCCTCCTGGCTTTCCTCCCTTCCCCAATCTCCATGGGTCACAGCTAACAGATCTGAGGGCAGCTGCTGTGCTGGTGGCCCAGGGCTGCACCTGCCATCCCCAGCGCTGCCGGTTTAGTGCCTTCTAGAGGCAGTGTCCCTAGGCGGTAGCTGTGAGGCATGGGTGTTCTGCTCTGGGCTGGGCAGCCAATGGGAGGAGGTGAGGAGGTGTAGTCACTGCCTGGGCCCGGGCTGGCCAGCCCTGCAATTGGGCAGCCAAACCACGTCCCTTAGCAAAGGGCCAGAGTGGGACCCTGTCCCATGCCCTTCGTCCTGAGGAGCCCTGGGGTGGGCAGCAGGGGCAGGGAAAGTTTTCAGGCCTTCATCAGAGAGAAAGATGTCATTAGCTCCACACCCCTCATCCTGTGTCAGTACTTGTTAGCGTGTGACTGCCCTGGTCAGCCGGCACACTATTGGTCCACCTGGCCCACTGCCTGGTTTTGCCATCCATTTATGATCAGAAATGTTATCTTTGAAACCAATTAAGTGTTTTCTTCCCCATCAAAAAATATTTCTCCTTATTAGTAGACATGTATTTACCAAAATACATACTCAATTATTGTATTTTGGATTTTATCAACTTAAAAATTGTAGAAATGTGTTTGCTCTTATGCCAACATAATATTGATTTTGTGTCTTGGCTCTGAAAGCCCAAAACATTTACCATCTAGCCCTTTACAGAAAAAGTCTGTCGACTGCTGAGCCAGACCTCCATCATCTCTATCCCCGCTGGATTAGTTAAAGAAAGTCTCAGACAATAAGGGCTTTGTAAAAATAATAAAATGACTTGATTTGAGCTTGGAAGCAGAGGAAGCATTCAGATGAGCAGTTTCTGTATCAACCCTGCCTGTCGCATGTCTCATGTCCTGCGTGGCCAGGGAGCCCTTCTTGGAAGTTTCTGATCCTCCAGCCGGCTCCTGCAGAATCTGCCCTGCCACACGGTGGGAATGTAGAGCCCTTTGCTTCCTTCTTTGCTGCCTGCTTCCTGTTCCTGGAGACCTGTCAGGCCTCTGGACTGCATCCCCTGGCCAGGCCCCTAAGGGTTGATATGTGGGGAAGGCCTTTGAGCAGTGGGGGGTGGCAGTGGCCTCCTGACGGGCTCACACTCCTGTCCTGGGAGGGGCAGCCTGATCTCACCTCCACCTAGTGCGTTGGTAACTGAGGACTTCTTGGCTTCTCTGGAGCCTGCAAACCTTCCCCCATGTGTCCAGCTGATCTTCCTACTACAAAGGGGACCGCTCACAGTAGCCTCAGCTTGGTGGTTTTGCAGGACAGCCATCTAGGCCTGAGATTTCTGCGTCTGGTGGATGAATAGCCTCAAATGGAAGGAGTCCCACGGTATGGGTCCGAGGTCCAGCTGTGGCCACCCAGCCATCTGTGGCTTGCCCAGCCTCTGCATCCCTGATGTCTTCACTCCAGGGGCAGCCAGCAGCCCCTGGAATCCCTTTCTCTGTAGTAACAGCAGCGATAGCAGCTGGGGCTGACTGGCCTCTGCTAGTGGCCAGGCTTTGTGTTCTGTGCATTTGTTCAGCTTCTCACTTGATCCTCCCTAAGGCGATGGGGAGGCCCCGATAGCCCAGTTTTCCGGGTGAGGAAGTCAACAGGGAGGGTAGATGGTGCCCAGGGTCCCACAGCTACTGATGCCCTGAGCCAGGCTGAGCTTCCTGAAGTTCAGCCCGGATCCCACATTCAGACCTCTTGCTCTCAGATATGTGGGATGAGCTCCTTTGTCCCAGTGCCGGCTCTGTCCTGAGGCCTCATTGCTGGTCTGAGTGTGCTCTGCTGGGAAAAGCTTTGTGGGAGTTGCTTGGTTAACCACAGAAGAGAAAGGGCATGTTTGGGGTGTTCCCCACAGCCCCCCTGTGCTGGTGGAAGCCTGGTTACTGTGTTTTCTAATGTTCGTGTATTTAAAGTGATTTCTTTCTAAAGATGTAACCTCCGCACCTTTCTCCTGATTGGGTGACTCTTTTCTAAAGGTGGTGGGAGTATCTGTCGGGGTGGTGTGGCCCTTGGGTGGGTCAGGTGGGTGTGAGGGGTCCTGGGGAGGTGGGCGTCCAGCTCAGAGTTGTCCTGCTGCCGTGTTTTTGTACCTGAAATAAAGCATATTTTGCACTTGTTACTGTACCATTGTGCAGACGAGAAGTCTGTATGTGGGATCTGTGCTTGGGTCAGAATGCAAATAAAACTCACATTTGTAAGAAACCTCTGTGGCTCAGGCCGTGGCTTGTTTTGCTGTTTTGTTTGTGAGAGTCTGGTAACATATACAAAACATAAAATCTGACCATCTTCACTATTTTAACTGTACAGGTCAGTGGTATTAAATACACTCACATTGTTGTGCCACCGTCACCACCATCCATCTTCAGAATGCTTAATTTTTTGTTGAGGCGGGATCTCGCTCTGTCACCCAGGCTGGAGTGCAGTGTGGCGTGATCACCATTCACTGCAGCCTCGATCTTCCCAGGCTCAGGTGATCCTCCTACCTCAACCTCCCAAGTAGCTGGGACTACAGACATGTGCCTCCATAACCAGCTAATTTTTTTGTATTTTATAAGATGGGGTTTCACCATGTTGCCCAGGCTGATATTGAACTCCTGGTCTCAAGCAATCTGCCTGCCTCAGGTGTGGTGGGTGACACCTGTAAGTGCTGAGATGACAGGTGTGAGCCACCACGCCCAGCCCAGAATTCTTTTCATCTTGCAAAACTGAACCTTTGTACCCATTAAACACTAACTTACCATCCCCCGTGTCAGTCCTTTGTGTCACTGTAAAGGAATACTTGATACTGCATAATTTATGAGGAAAAGAGATTTGGCTCATGCTTCTGCAGGCTGTACAAGCATGGCCTCAGCATCTGCTTCTGGTAAGGGCCTCGGGAAGCTTACAATCATCGTGGAAGGCAAAGGAGAGCCAACATGTCACAGGGTGAGAGAACAAGAAAAAGAGGGAGGAGGTGAGAGGCTCTAAAAGATTAAAAATCAGATCTCGCGTGAGCTCACAGAGGGCTCACTCATTATAAGGATGGCACCAAGCCATTCTTGAGAGATCTGCCACACACCTCCCACTAGGCCCACCTACTACAGTGGAGGTCACGTTTCAACTTGAGGTTTGGAAGGGACACATCCAAACCACATCACCCATGTCCCAGCCCCTCACAACCATTATTCTAATTTCTGACTCTTTGAGTGACATCATAAAAGTGGAATCATATAGTATTTGGCCTGTGACCAGGGTGTCCTCAAGGTTCATCCATATTGTAGCATGTGTCAGAATTTGTATATTTTTTTTGAGACGAAGTCTCACTCTGTCGCCCAGGCTGGAGTGCAGTGGTGCAATCTCCACTCACCGTGACCTCCGTCTCCTGGGTCCAAGTGATTCTCCTGCCTCAGCCTCCCAAATAGCTGGGATTGCAGGTCCCAACACCACACCCAGCTAACTTTTGTATTTTTAGTAGAAATGGGGTTTTGCCATGTTGGCTAGGCTGGTCTCGAACTCCTGACCTCAGGTGATCTGCCCTCCTTGACCTCCCAAACTGCTGGGATTACAGGCGTGAGCCATCGCGCCCAGTCAGAATCTCCTTCCTTTTTAAGGCTGAATACTATTCTCTTGTATGGATAGCCATTTTGTTTATCCACTCATCCTTCAATGGACATTTTGGTTGCTTCCATGTTTGGCTGTTGTGAATGATGCTGCGACGCACATGGGTGTGACCAAATACCTCTTCATGTCCCTGTTTTCAGTTCTTTGGGGAATGCCCACAAGTGGGACTGCTGGGTCAGTTCTGTGTTTAATTCTTTGAGGAAGCACCATCCTGTTTTCCATAGTGGCTGCACCGTTTTCCTCTCTCCAACTGCACAAAGGTTCCAATTTCTCCTTGCCAGCACTTGTTACTGTCCTTTGTTTTTTGATAATAGCCATTGTAACTGGAGACCGCAGGTGTTTGAAGCTTGATCAGTGGGTGGGCTGGCTGAATGCTGGTCAGCACGTTTGCAGCACTGCCGCCCTAGTCTCTAATCAGGACCTCTTACCAGGACCAGGGCTGCAGCCCATGAGCCACCACGGGCCTCTCTACAAGTCCCCTACCCTGCTCTGAAACCTTCCTACCTTGACCACACCTTTCCCAAGCTCATCAGTCTCCAGCGTCCATTCTGACCATGGGTGTGCCCATTGTTGCTCACAGCTGTGGCTCCTCCATGCCTGCTGCCCGTGTTCTTCCCAGCCCTCCAAGCCCCCTGGATGCATCTGTCCCACCCCACCCTGCAGTAAAGCACCCCTCTCCTCCCAAGTTGCCTGCCCACATCCCTATGAGAGGAGCAGAGGGTATGCACGGTGGGAGGGGCTTCAGGTCTTGGGTTGGAATCCTGGATCCACATGATTTTGAGCAGGCTATTTAACCTCCCCCACCCTCAGTCTTCTCGTCTGTAAAACAGGAATACCACCTGCCTTGCAAGTTTGTGGGGCTGAAATGAGACCATGTACACGAGACAGTGAGCAAAAGGCCTGGCACAGGACGAGGCTCCTGGGGAAACGTGGAGCGGCACTGGCAGGGCCTCTTGGCTGGGAAACGGCTGGGGTTTTCCAGGGTCCCAAAGAAGGGCTTTGTTGCTGAAGGAGGATGACACCAGGGGAGGTCAGAGGAGGTGGGGATCTGGCCATCTGATAATAGAATGATCCTCAGAGTTTTCAGCGTTCCCAGTACACACCAGCGTATTAGCAACAGTTTCACAAAACGATACTTGGACTATTATTCCATTTCATTTTTTCTTGAGGAATGCAGCTCTTGACCTGTGGAGCTGATCTTCTGGCCCGCTGGTGGGCTGTGCCCTACGCTTTGACTCTCCTGACACAGGGCCTTGCAGACGGGGCATGGGGGCAGGAGGTCTGTGTTCCAAGCGCAGTGGAAAGTAGCCTACCAGGTCCTTAGGCTGAGAAGGGACCTGATGGCTGCCTTAGCCCATGTGAGCTGCTATAACAAAATGCCATAAGTAAACTAGGTGGCTTACAAACAATAGAAAGGTATTTCTCTCGGTTCTGAAGGTGAGATGTCCAAGGTCAAGGCGCTGGCAGATCCAGTGGCTGGAGAAGGCCTTCCTCCCAGGAAGGGGCAGACAAGCTCCCTGGGGCCTCTTTGACGTGCGCACTAATCCCATTCACCCTCGTGGCCTCACACTCCCAAAGGCCCCACCTGCATGTGCCATCACCTTGGAGGTTAGGCTTCAACATCGGAAGCGTGGGAGGGAATACAAGCATTCAGTCAATAGCTACCCGATTGGGTTAGAGAGCTCAGAGCCTGAGAATTCCCCTGTACTCTGGCTTGACTGCTGGCTGCCCCACCCGCCTCCACAGCCTCTGCCCCTGCAGGGAAACTAGAGCCAGGACACAGGAGCCGGATGCACTCAGGAGCACTTCGCTGCAGCTGAGCCCCAGAGCGGCAGGGGCCCGCAGCAAACAGTGAGAGCTCGGCAGGCCAGAATGCATGTGCGGCTCTCAGGCCGCGGTCCTCCGCCTTCCGGTGGGCAGGAGCAGAGGAGCACTGCAAAGTGGCGCATTTCCAGCAAACACCCCCAGCCAGCCATGATGTGGGCGTCAGGCTTCCCAGCTATTTCCCGGGATGTCTCTTCAGGTAGCGGGCTGCAGTGTTGCGGTTCTCAAACTGGAAGGCTTCTTCTGCAGATAGCTGGGACCCCACAAAGCTTTGGGCTCAGTGGGTCTGATCGGGGGCCTGGGAATTGTTATTTTTTATTTTTTTCTTTTTTTGACACAGGGTCTCACTCTATTGCCCAGGCTGGAGTGCAATGGCGCGATCTCAGCTCACTGCAACCTCTGCCTCCCTGGTTCAAGTGATTCTCCTGCATCAGCCTCCGGAGTAGCTGGGATTACAGGCACGTGCCACCTCGCTTGGCTAGTTTTGTATTTTTAGGAGAGATGGGGTTTCACCATGTTGGTCAGGCTGGTCTTGAATTCCCGACATCAGGTGATCCACCCACCTTGGCCTTCCAAATTGCTGGAGTTACAGGCGTGAGCCACTGCGCCCCACCAGGAATTCGTATTTCTAAGAAGTCCCCAGGTGATGCTAACAGTGTTTGTCCAGGGACCACACTTTGTGAGCCCCTGATATAGGGGAGAACTACCTAGCTTCTCATTCAGTGTCTGGCTGTGTGACCTTGTGCAAGGTGCCTAACTTCTCTGTGTTTTGCTTACCTCATCCATAAAATTTGTCCGTGAGGACTAATACTCATTCCTGCCTTGCAGGACTGTTATAATGAGTAAATGAGCTGAGTTTACTTCAAGAGCTTGGAATGGCCCTGGCAGTGAGAGGCAGGAGGTTTTATTCATGGTCTGTATTCTCTGGGTGGTGTCCCAGGGCATCCGAATCTTCAGGAGGGCTGGAAAGCCACCTGCACTGGGTGCCTGCCCGCAGTCTCCCATTCATGGTGGGGTGTGGGGCTGAGAATGTGCATTTCTAACAGGTTTCCCAGGAGGCCATTGCTCCTGGCCTGGAGGCACCTATCCGGCTTCTGGGAGAAGCCTCCAAGAGGGAAAGTGAGTCACTCAGATAGGGTAGGACAGAGGGGGAACTAGACAAAGGTGACCCGGAGCCTGACAGCTGGCTCGTAGCTGTGGTCCTCTGCGCCTCCCTATAGGGGAAGATGATTTGAGTAGTGAAACTGTTGATGACTCCCTCACCCCACAACAGATGCCACACACACACACACACACACACACACACACACACGGGACCAGAGGGCCCTCCTGGGTACAGGTGTGAACGCTGCTGGCTCTGCTCTGGGCCAGGGGAGTAGCTGCACTCAGCACTTCTACTCCTGGAACTCCTGGGCTGCAGCTGCTCCCACAGTGCTGACTGGGTCTGTCCACATGGAAGACCTGTGAAAGTCACCAGTGGGAAACAGGTGCACGCACTGTTTGAGCCTCTACCAGGTGGGCTGAAGATTCCACGTGGAGTGTGTCAGACACTCCACGAGATAGGCCCTGGGAGGCTGACTCACGAGGACCAAACCCTGAGGAGCCAGAGAGAACTGGTCACCGTGGGTAAGACGAGGAAATCAACCATATGGCTCTGGGGGATCTTGGCAGGCTGAGGACACTCTAAGATGCAAAGCAGAATCCTAAAGGGAAGGGTGTCTGGCAGGTTCTCCCAGCTGAGCCTCCGCTGAGGCTTGGCTTGGACAGGGTTCCTTGGA